AGTCAAAATGACATATTGGATGACCCATTCTGGATTTGTAGATCTCTCAAACCAAAATTCCATTTCAACTTTTTCAACTTATAAGCCATTTACAAGCCATTTGCACCACTTTTAAAAATCCATGCTCTAAGCCTTTCCAAACTTTCACACCCTCTTTTCTAGGCTTAAAATCCCATTTTGAACAACTTTCATGTTTTGAGTTTTTTCATTTGAGGCTTGGAAATAGGAGATATGGCCTTTGCTTAAAATGACCTATAACTGCCAAATGACCAAAATACCCCTGTCTTGTTCAAACCATAAGTTGAGTTCTACAAACCCTATCAAGGACTTCGAGTACTCTCTAGAAAGCTAAGAATATGCTCTTCAACATTCATGTTGACCAAGAGATCATAGGAATCATCCTACTAGGGCAAAATTTGTCTGCAAGTTGGGTGACTTTCAAGAACCCAGATTCACACACCTCTGCTGACCTGTAATTTGTCAAAACCATAACTTGAGCTCTGCACATCCTATCAAGGACTTCTACCACTCAAATTAAAGCTAAGAACAAGCTCTACAACATTCATGTTGTGGGGAAGATGAGATATCAATCACATCTAGAGCTAAAACTGCCTGGAAGATAGGGATCAAATTAGGGTTTTTTCACTGACAATCCCTGGAAACCCTAACTTGAAACTTCTCAAACTCCTCAATCATGATGAGTTGGTCTAGGAATCATCTTTATAACATATCCATACCTCATTCCATGATCTCATGGCTCTTGGATTAGGTCTCAACCTTCTCCAAGCCTTCAGCTGATCTCAGGGTTGACCCAGTCAAAACCCTAATTCTACCATTCATGGTTGAATCCTCTGAATTCTTGCACAATGACCTCTCTGGGCTTCATGATGGCTATCAAGACATCTCATAGGCTTTCTCAAAACATCAAGTTCATTCTCAAAGTCTCAGAATCATCTGAGGAGCACCCACAACCCTCAAGCTATGAAGCACACAACTCTGGTTTCAACCAATTCTCTTGAGGATCTCTTGAACTTACTGATGAAGGTATCAACTTTCAAACACTTGATGGATAAATAAATGTTGGTCAAATTTTGGGGTGCAACAACATGGTGAAGGTGAATCTTAAATGAGAAGTAACTCGACACAAGGCGATATTTGTGGAGAAAGGATTTCTTCAGAAGGAAGGAATCGACTTCGACGAAGTCTTTGCACCTGTTTCTAGGATCGAAACAATTAGATTGGCTGTTGGCCTAATAAATATAAACAATTGGCACAAATTTCAGATGGACATGAAGTGTGCATTCCTGAATGACCCCTTAGACGAAGAAGTTTATGTTGCCCAACTAGTTAGGTTTGTGAAATGAGGCAAAGAAAGAAAGGCATACAGGCTGCATAAAGTTTTGTATGGACTTAAGCAAGCTCCAAGAGCTTGGAATAAGAAAATCGACAACCTTTTAAGGGAGAAGGAATTTGTGAAGTGTACGATTGAGTATGGAGCGTGCGTAAGAAGAAGCAGTAGTGAACTGCTTATACTATGCCTTTATGTTGATGACCTGTTGATAACAGGAAGTTGTAAGAAGGAGATAGAAGACTTCAAACATAACTTGAGTGAGGAGTTTGAAATGTCAGACTTGAGAAATCTCTCATATTTCCTTGGAAACAAATTCTACAAGAGTAGTAGAGGTTTGATGATGCACCAAAGAAGATATACAGACGAAATACTCAAGAGATTTGAGATGCAAGATTGCAACCCAACTTCGACTCCAGCTGATACCAGATTGCAACTGTCGTAGGATTTGGATGAAGATGATGTCGACCCAGCCCAATATAGAAGACCTATTGGGTCACTTCGATACCTTTGTCACACAAGGCTTGACTTAGCATACAATGTAGGTATGGTAAGTAGATTTATGCATAAGCCAAAGGTATCACACCTAGCAGCGACGAAGAGGATACTGAGGTATCTGAAAGGGACTCTTGACCACGGCATTTTGTTTCCTACAACTGATGAAGGAAAAATGCAAGTTAGTGGGATACACCGACTCTGGTTGGTGTAGTGATGCTAAGGATAGAAAATCCACAGCTTGCTATGTGTTTATTTTAGGTGGTGCACCAGTTGCTTAGAGTTCAAGAAAGAAGTCAGTAGCGAAATTGTCATCATGTGAAGCTGGAATATATAGCTACTTCTCTTTGTGCATGTCAAGCAACCTGGATGGTGAACCTGGTCGAAGAGATCACATCGAAGAGTCGTGGAACAATTACCATGAAGATCGACAGCATGTAAGCTATCAACTTGGCGAAGAATCCAATAGCACACGGTCTAAGCATACATCGAAATGAGGTTCCATTATCTTCAAGAGCAAGTAACATAAGGGAAGATGAATTTGGAACACTGCAGAACTGAGAATTAGATTGCAGACATCATGACAAAGGGAGTGCCAGTCGAAGTGTTCAGAAGGCTATGGTATATGATGAATGTAGATAGCTTAGACACATTGAATTAGGTGGTGTGCTGAAATTATAATTCCATGTGTCGAAGCAGTGTAGCTCGACAAAAATAAGGATTAGTCAAATTAGCCTAATGTGTTAGTCTGTCAAGTTGCTTAGTGTGTCGAAGTGTCGAAGCAGGTTGTTTCACACAGGATTTAGACTTAGGGTTATTTTAGTAAGGTTAGCTATTTTGGGCTTTTATAGTTTTGGAATTTGCCTTGGGGTGCAAGCTAACCTAAATCTATAAATAGGGAGAAACTCTTATTTTGTAAGCAACTCATTATTTTTTGTAATTCACAGTTTGCATTTGCAAGTGAAATAACAAAATTTCCACAGATTGTGAGTAGATAGTTCTCTGTAGAAAATTGTTCATCTTCTTCTCTAACGTTTACTTACTTACTTACTTTCTTTCTTTCTAAACTTTTCATTCATTGTCAGTACGTGGGTTGAAACAATCTTTAAATCTAGATTGATTGAGTGAAATTCTCCATAGGTTGTGGTTGAATTTCCAACAAAGATTGTTGATGATAGTATAAATGAATTGAGAAAGAAAATACTAGAACATCGTTCACAAGTAAAAGTCAATGTCGCTCATAACAATGATGATCCAAAAATTTCAAATTATGATGTTATGCAATCCAAGGGGTTCAAGATACAGCCTAATTAAAAGAGACAATCAAATAGGCGATTTAAAAGTTGGGTTGAGCAACAACATAAGAAGAAAAAAAACATTTGCCTAAAAGAAAGCAATGCAACTAAATGTCTCAGGTATATATATTTATGTATCACTTGATTTTACTTGTATATATCTCTCTTTAATTTTACTTGAAATTTTTTCATAATCGTTTTAGGATAGAGAACTATCAAGTTGTATGGTTGATGAAGTATCATGTTCGACGCCTCTAATTTATGAGTCCCAACAAACACAAAAGGATCATTTTAGTTTCACATATTTCTTGATGGCAATTTCATTTTCTTTTGATGTTAATTTGTAATTTAGAATTGACACTTATGATGATAATTAGTTTTTTTTGCTATCTAGGCACCATTTAATGAGACGAATATTGGAGCTAATGCATTACTAACTTTTTGGAGTAGCTTCTTTTTGTACATCACTTAATGACCTGGTGCATGCTGTTGACCTTTTGGCACGCTGCTGACTTTTTGCATACCAGATAATGAAAACAGTGTCTGATGTTGCTTTTGTGTGCTTCAGTTAATACAAATTATTGATGTTTTTTTCCATTACTTAATGTAAAGTTTTATACTGTTAAAGTGTTATATAATGGTATATATTATTATGGTATTATGGTGATATATGATGTATAACTTTAGCATTTTGTTATGGTTGAATATGCTGACTTTATACTGTTAAAGTTGTATAATGATGAAAATGAGAGTTTTCTATACAAAGTCATTTACTATAATATTTAATTAATGTTGAAGTTAAGTACAAAGATACAGTTATATGATGTTGAATATGTTGTTAACTTTATGCTGTCATCTTTAATTAATTTCATGGTGATGTTGAATCCATATAGACAAAGTCATTTACCATTGTATTAGGAAGAGATATATTTTATAAAAGCATCATCATACTGTTATATAGTGGCATTTGCTATATGCTGTTGCTTTTATGTTGACCAAACTAAAGATATGATAACCCTTAGAGAATCCAAAATCGAAAAATAGATTGTTTGAAGAATGTAGAAACGAAAAACGTATTGCTTGATGGCAATGACCGAAAACAAAATGGATGACTCCAATTGATCGAAAATAGATTATGTGATGAGAGATTAGAATTTTTCTGGAGAGAAAAAATTTGGAGATGCAACGCAACAATCCTAACTCTCATTCACGTTCTTTTTATTATGATGATTCAATTCTATAAACAAATTTTTTAAAAAATTATTTAAAGTAATACAATAAAATATATGATATAATATGGACCCTTACATTGATAATGGACAGGATTAAGATAAAGGTATGTGCCTTTCTCTCCCTAAAGTTATGTAATCCTTGTCCAGCCAATCAAGCATCCATCATCTCAAAAACACCATCAACGTGGCATTAGGAAAACCTACAACTATTAATACTTTCAAAAACTTTAATCATACCTTTAATTTGGTATAGTCCCCAAAATTCTTTTATATATTTTTTTTATTAAAATTTTACATCAAGATACTTTTTAGACTGTCTCTTTCAGATCACATAGATATTACCTTATAGCTTTTGCTTCTATAAACAAAAATAGATTATATGGTAGATTCATAATCATGTATCAGTAGCTTATATTCGTAGCACAAACCAAAATATCATTATCCCTTTGATTCTTTGGTTACAGAAAGTATCAACAAACTATCAAGTACACACAATAAGAGTATTACAGATCAGATCTGTCATCTAAACTTCTAAGGAACATAAATGCAAGGAACATAAAACCTTAAAAAACAGATAAAAATAATCATAAAAAATGCATCTAAATCCCTTTTTCATACAGTGCGATGAGTTTACCCAGTAACGATATGAACGCCAATGGCAATGAGTAAGATAGTGATGAGTCCAAAGTATATAATGGCGTGAACAAGAATGGAAGCACCGCTTGTTTGCATGTTCCCGAACTCGATTACTCTTCCTCTTCCTGGTATTTGAAACAGCAGACCTGGACACAGAATCACAAACAGCACCACCGCTATCACCACCGGACCCCAATCAGCCATTTGAAGCTGCACACGAGGACCGAACGGGGAGAATTGAAAGAGAGAAAAGGGAGGGTTTGTGTGAGAAGGAGTGTGGGTGTGGAGTGGAGTAAGATCTGGAACCGTTTGGAGTAATAGAAGAGACGTTTACGTTGTTTTGAGGGTTTCGGGAAACACAGAAATAGATAACCGTCCGTGTGACACGTGGCAGCCTCATTTTCGGTATTATTTCGATCTCTCAAACACCTCTCTCACGATTCGGATTCTGTATTGGAAAAGAAAAAGAAAACTCAAAACACGGGTTGTATTTTCTAGTGGTGAATAAAAACCCGTGGGCCGACCCAAACCGGGCGGTCTGAGAACAAAGAGTGTCAATTGGGTTAGTTTTACGCGTCATCCGGTTTTCAGTTTAAAAGATTAATTTTTAATTGATGGTATTGGATTTGAGGTAGAAGTGGAAATAGACTAATTCGGTAAGTAGGGATTTACGGTTTAGGCTAGATTAGATTTTATTTTTAAATAGAAAAATTTAAATTTTTTTATAAATTTATTTAATTAAAAATGTTAAGTTTCAGACCATAAAAAATTCTTTTAGATTTATCAGACCGATTTATTTAAATAAGATAAATATGAATAATTTTTATCATCATTACATTATACTTTTTAATTTGAATTAAAATACATAAATAAAACTTGACTATCTTAAAAAATTTATAAAAATAAAATGAAAACACCTTATGGGCAATGTTATAAGTTGTTTTCATAAGTTCTCTTAAACAATAATCTCACAAAATTTGTGTTAATAGGTAAGTTAAAATAAGTCAATGTAAACAAATTTTTAGTCTCATTGTTCTTTTAGTTTGTTAGTCTATTTAAACATGATTTGAATTGTTTATTTACATATGTCTAAAATAAATAGATTTTTATGTAGGCTAACAGAACCTTCGAAAAGGTTAGACTCAGACCTAAAAATAATTCTATGACAGACTATATATCAGACTTAGGCTTCGATTTTTTGGACAAGTCAGACTAAAGCTTGACAAAGTCTAACTCAACCCAATCTATTTTCACCCCTAGTTTGGATTTACAAAATCAATCTAGTTTTTTTTTAAAAAATAGCAGACAAAAAAAAAAGAAATAAGAATAAAACTAAGGCGTCATGAATGCCCATAAAAGAGAATACAAGTAGCAAGTTCCTTAAAGAAAACTTTTACACTGTCATACCACAAATTTTGACCCATAAATTTCATCACCATTATATGACTATCAAGCATATGTCCACTAACCCTAACTTTGTTTCAAGTTTGTTGTTGTTTAGATTCATCTGAATCAGGTATTTGCACCTTGGAATCAAGAGAATTATTGCTTGATTAGTCAATATTTTGGATTAATCATCATCAAATAAAGTTCCCATACACTCAAGAGGCTTATCTTCAACAAGATCAAGTACAAATTGGTCTCATTGCAAGATCATTGAAGCCTAATTTCATCTGGCCCCAAATTAGGATTTTATCGGGAAAAGTCAATCGTGCATTTGACTTTTGATCCAAGCATGATCTCAAGTCTTGGGACATGATTCAATATGTTCATATACATCCTTGGGGCCTATTTATGATTATTGAAAAGTCCAAAGATGTAAATTCATTGAAGATTACACAGTTGGATTCATCTGATACAAATTTCATCCGACAAAGTCAACCCTTTGACTTTTGTGGTTTTTGGTCTAAATTAAATCATTTAAGCTAAATTTCATCAAGACATGTTTAAATAATGAGCTTGATCATAAAAAATCAAGATTTGAGAGGTTTCTTGAAACAGGGGTAAACTTGGATAAGTTGAAAATTTTCTAAGTGTATGAAAAAAACCTTAATTTTGGCACCAACTTTGAAAGATCATAACTTTCAATCCGCATATACATTTTTTTAGTTCCAAAGGTCAATTTGTAGATCTCATCATGTAATACAAAATTTTCCTACTGACCTATGAGTAAAAGAGGCTTAGATTTTGAGATATGGAGCTTCAAAGTGTGGAAGAATTTTAAAACACTTGGAATTTTTCAAGGCGAGCTTTGTTCCTTCAATTTTCAGCCAATTTTCATCATGATCCCTTTGGATTCAGGAATTTTATCAAACATGAAAGTAGTAGGGCATATTTAGGGATTTCTAAAAAGTACAAGAACTCTCCAATTCATTGAGTGAACTAGGATTTTCGAAGACATGAAGTTTAGGGTTTGAAACTTGAAATACAATTTGTGCCACTTGATAAACATGATGCAAAACCAACTTTTGCTGCAATTATTTACACTCTATAAGCTATTACTTGCAAGATATCAATTAATCAAATCATTACACGAAATTTAGAAGCTTGATCCTTTGAATTAAAGCTCAAACCACTTGCTACTTCCATTTTTTGCATAAAGTGAAGAATGTCATTTTCATAAAGTTAGCTTTTCCCTAAAATCAGCATTGAGCCATTCCACTTCTCTCCTTCTGCACTCTAAGGATACTCTATGATTCAAAAAGCATGCTCTACCCAGCAACCCTTGTACTTGATCCTTGAAACAAGAGGAAACTATCATTACAAGCAAGTTGGCTCCCAAATGAATTAGTTGGAAATACTCAATTTTTTATATCTCCTCAAACCCTTCACTCTCTCTATAAATAGGACATCACTCCTCACTCCAAAACATCAAAGAATACCCCAAGAAAACTCCTCAAACCACCTTGCAGCCTCAGGACCACTTGTTCTTGCAAAAACCACCCAAACTTGCAAGAACACTTCAAATACTCATTCTGCTCGTGCATTCTCAAAACAAACTTCACAAATCATTTCCACACACTCATTAGAACTCACCTAAACTAATGAATTAGTTATGAAACATCCCAAACACATCATATTATTTTCAACCTCCATTGTAGCAAGAGGCATCGTGTTATATTCCTTAGGATTGTTCCAGGTCATCCCACCATTTTAACAAGTTCTAAAAGGCTCAAGGAAGCTTTAAGGATCAATATCTTGTAATTATGATAACTTAGAAGAAACCTTGGATTTTCTCCAAGAGGTATGTTTTCTGAACTTGGAAATATTCATATTCATGCACCATTTTGATGTCATTTAAATAGCAAAGATGTAGTGTATGATGCTCTTAGTTGTTTTAGAGCATTGCTCACTTTATATTGTTTGAATATTTGATGTTATAACATGCTGAATATTTGTGATATTGATCTATTAATGAGGATTGTGTGCATTATACACTGAGTTTTAGGTTTAACAAATGATATATTTGTGTTCCTTGTGAAAAATGCCTTGAGTTTGGTCTCTACATTATTTGAAATGGTTGAGAAATGGAGGATTTAGAAAAGGAAGAAATTCTGGTCATGGAAACATGGTTAGGGCACGAGGAGAGAGAGGCGAGGCTGAGGAAGAAGAAGTGAGTGGAATCTGAGGTGGAAGTGACTGGACGTGATGTGGCACTGAGGTGGAAGTGACTAGGCGTGATGTGGCGCTGAGGTGGCCATTTTGGTTGGTTCTTAAAATAAAAAGAATTAGAAGCATATAGTTAATGGATGAAAGCGTAGCACCGCTGGTCCATGGAGGAGGTTTGTGTGTCATTTAAAGCGAAGGTTCAAGGGTTCGATCCCCCCAGAACTTTTTGCTTTTTTGTTTTTTTGAGTAAACCACTTGTTTTCACATATTATCTCATGATAGTGTCATATATTCACCATGCGTGTGTGGCCCAGTTGGTATTAATTTTGAATGGTGATTTCAAGGGCATGGGTTTAATACCCCTAGGATGCATTCCCATCATTTTTATCATTTGTTTTATTTATTTTTATGATTTTCTAATGCAACTTCAAACTTTCACAACTCTCTTGATTTTTATCATTTTACTTCCATTATTTTTGCATTATACTCATGAGAATGTCTATTGTTTATTTATAGTGAGAAATTTCCAAAAAGATTATTTTGTTTTGTACTTATTCATGTTCAAAGTAGGTGACACTTTTAGGGTTTCTTAGGATTCTTTTTTATCTCTTGATTGATCCTTTGGCTCTCCTTGCACATTTTTTAATTATATGAACCCCATACACCTTGTATGAACCTTAATTTGTGTGGTGAACTTGTATATCCTTGTTGTTACTTGGTTGTTATTACTTTTTTCAAGTTTATGTTCATATGTGAATACAAACTCCTTGAAAATTTGGTTGTTACCTTGCCCTTAACATGTGATTATCTTCTATGATTAAGTGATTTGAATATACAAGTGCTTTATGTTGACCATTTTGTTGCGGTGGGAATAGGATATCAAACTATTAATTAGTTTGAATCACAATTCTTGATTCACAAACGCTCTTTGATTTATCCGAAGGAAAAGGTCAAAAGAGGGAAAACCTATTTTTGCATCGTAAACACAATGCGGGGAGAGATTTAGGTAAGGGGTTGGTTAAGCTTAGGGAAGGTACTAGCATCCTAAACTTCTGTAGTACTCTATAGGAACCTATTGTTTATTGTATGCCTTTTATTTTTATTTATTATCTGATTTAATATATATTGAGCTAAGGGATAGAGTGACCTAAAGACCTAAGGGTTAGTCCTAAGTTTACTCGACAAGACGTCGCATCTTGGGCCTACGTATCCTGGGTAGGGAATGGAATCAGAGTAATCGTAGTTCCTCTCGAAAAGGAGGTTAGAAACTTCTTGATTGTGGTCAAGGTTTCAAGGGGAGTAAACGTATCTTAACGACGCATTTACATGGAGTTTTGAAACTCTTATTTATACGTTGAAAATTCGAATTGAAATTAGGGTGAAATTAGGGATTCTTCGGCGGGAAACCCTAAAACAGAGTACGACGACTCTTTGACCTAACGCTAGGATAAAAGAGCGTTTTCGTCCACGGCGGGACGCCTAGGCTAAACAAGGTTTGGAATAGTCAAAGGGTTAGGCTAATGACTCGGCGGTCAAACGGTTTAGACCTAATTTCTTCGGAGGGCGAAATTAACGGTAAAAACATGCAAAATATG